TTAGAGGTCAGGGCACAGAGGAAGAGAATTTTTTAAGCAGATACCCCACCGAGTGCAGAGCCTGATGCAGGGCTTAATCTCACCACCCATGAGATCATGACCTGAGTTGAAACTAAGAGTCAAATGCCTAACTAACTGAACCATCCGGGGGCTCCTCACCCTACCTTTTTTTTTTTTTTTTTTTTTTTTTTTAAAGCTCCTGTCCCTAGTTCCCAGTGCAAACAGAAGTTGGAAACCTCTTTTTTTTTTTTTTTTTTTTTTTAAGAAAAAGAATCTTTCTCTTTTGATAAATCCTATTGTCTCCCATATCTGCTGGAATGCCACAGTTGAACATGACAACAGTCCCCACCCCCCCAATTTCCCTACTGCTTACAGTTTAGCCAATACTTGACTTTCCTAATTAATTCCTGGTTTACTGGCAATTGTATGCAATTCATAGACTGGTGAACGGTTTTATAGCTAAGAGTGGATTGAGTAATAGCTTTCCAATTCTAAAAAAGCAGTCGTTCTGAACCATTCAAAGAAACTGTTAGTGTTGTCTGAGTTAAGAATACTTAATGTTGGGTGTGACCTCACAGTCACAGCAATTGTTTCTGATTCTTCTCTTATCTGTTTTTTAGGTTCAGATGCTTGTCAACAACACATAGTACAAAGAGGTCAGTTTAAGGCAGGACCCTCATTGGCTGAAGCTACTTCAAAATACAGGACCCATTTTTTTTCTGCTAAACAGATGATATTTTTGCTGAGTGTACATACATAGGGTTAAAGAAGTGTAGTACCACAATCCTTTACCTGAAATCCTTATAGCCAAATACATTTTAGATCTTAGAATGTATTAGAGTAGGGTTGAGCAGAAAAACGTGCAGAAACTAAATTTGTAAAGGGCTAGATAATATATATTTTCTTGAGGATCATATTGGTCTCATATGTTTTAACTATTCAACTCTGCCTTTGTAGCACAAAAATAGCCATATATAGTACATAAATAAACAGGCATGTTGGGTTCCAGGGAAACTTTATTTACAAAAACAGACAGGAAGACAAATTTTGTCATCATTCTATAGTTTGCTGATCTCTATTTTAGCCTTTAGAAAGACACTGCGGGGTGCCTGGGTGGTTCAGTTGGTTAAGCAACTGCCTTTGGCTCAGGTTATGATCCTGCAGTCTCAGGATCAAGTCCTGCATTGGGCTTCCTGCTCAACAGGGAGTTTGCTTCTCCCTCTGACCTCTCCCCTCTCATCCTCTCTTTATCATTCTCTCTCTGTCTCAAGTAAATAAGTAAAATTTAAAAAAAAAAATAAAGGACACTGTGGCATAATTTTATATGTATTTAGACAATACCTCCAGTGAGCAACAGCTCTGTCAACCATTTCTGATTCAGCAGCAAAACATGTAAATACTCATAATAAATTGGATAAAACAGACTGAACAACCTCACATTAACTCAGGACACGTTTTACCACCCAGTGAATTTTCCCATCCAACTTACAAAGATATTTTAACTTTCAGAGATTTAAAAAATATATATTTTGGAATTACAAGAAATGAATTGTGAACCTATGCATATTCTTTTTTTGAAGTGTGAAATTAATACTTATGCATTGAGAAAGTCCATGAGAGCAAAAGAAAATATGCATGGCCTAGAGAGGACAAAGTTTGTTCAGTACAAATACAATAGTGATCTTAGCAATTGGGTCATGAACCAAGACTCCCATTTTTCCAGGTCAAAATGATATTTAAGATTACATGGCCAAATAAACCTTACCTAAAGCAAAATGCTGGTGATACATTTGTGAAACTTTTTTAGAGCTCTGGAAATTCTTTTAAGTTTGTATATTGGCCTCCTTTATTTTGTGTCAAATGATCTTTAGGGTTCTAGGAACCTAGAAATAATTCCTGTGGTTATTTTGTGTGTCAGTGACGAGCATAAATTTTACCTACTGAATATTTCTAGGCTATTTGGCTATGAGTAAATAACCAGAACCTTCTAATTTGGATGGCTTTCATTGAGTCAGAGTACTCTCCTTCCTCATGTAATTTAAACTTTTACAAATGGAACTTGTACAAATGACAACTGATGTATAAATAATAGCTATTAATCTACCTTTATAGAGTTTTGCCAAATAAAATATCTCCTAGACTTTTGCTCCATACAGGATGATAAAGAGAAATATTTGCTATGAAGTTATATGCTGGGTTGAATAAAACAATATTAGAATATTAGAGCTGGAACAAACATAAAGGTAAACTCTAGGTTAAACCCCTCCTTTTCCATAAGGGGAAAAATGGCAGTCAGTGTGATTATAAATGAATCACTCAACATTACTAAGCTGATTACGTGAAAGAGACAACAGAAGAAGCAATGTCTCTAGGTTCTGAGTTTAGTCATTTTCTTAGTGATACTAGATTGTTTGGCTATCAAATACAAACCAAGCACAAATTATGGAATAACTGTGAGCTCTACATTACATACCACTCCAAGGATTATTAGCAAGTATGACATATGGTGTTATCTTCAAGGTAAGGGATGAAAATTCTGGCAATGCAATGGAAACTTTGATAAATACAAGTCTCGGGGTATATCAGTTTGCTCTGGTGTCTTTGAGAAACACTTCATATAAATTCAGGGTGAAGAATGAATGTACTATTTAGATGATTTTGGTTGCAAGAGATAAACATACAACCCAAACTGGATTAGGCAAAAATTTCATTTTATTGGTTCACATCTGGAAATTCCAGGGATGTAAGCATGGCAGGTGGTTTCATAACTTCATGGTATCAGGTATGATTATAGGTTTTTTGAATGGCAAAACAAAACACAATAATACTCAGATATATAAAACTGTGATGGATGAAGCAGAACTCTTGTTTCTTACAGACTGAGATGGGACAAGGGCCATGCAGGGGAGTGTACCATGGGACAGGATAAAAGCCAGCTGGGAGAGTAGGAAGCAACTCATGGATATCAGGTGGGGTGGGGTTAGCTAGATTTTGTGGGCTTCTGTGACATTGCATATTTGGAATAATTATACCAGCCCAAGGAAGAAGGAACCATTCCTGAGTGTTAGGTATCTGGACACTGCTAGAAATTGGGTTTGTGTGCACTATAACCCAGGACTATTGGATCCTATAAAAGAAATAGTTGGGGTGAAGACTTAGTAAACTGTCTTCCAAGGGGAATTGAGAGTTTTTAAACACATTTACAAAATTGGGTTGACAGCCCTTCTGAAATATTATATTATATTGGATCAACAAATTTTTATGTTAGCAACTTAATCATCTTAATAATATTGACAGAGGTCATGGTTTTGATTGTGATTGGTGTGGCTTATGTGCTCCTCCTTTTATAAAACACTGTAGTGAGGTAAATGGATTTCTGATTGACAAGGCCCTGGTTACATCCTCATCTCTGGAGCTAGAAGGTGGAGGCAATCCCACTCCAGTGATATGGACTGAGGGTGTTTAAGGAAGTGGTTCCTCAAAAGAAAGTCTCAGAGCTTTAATCAAAAGAAGGGAAAAAATTGCTGAGTTGGAGAAATAACGAATGTCCATCAAATAAGTGGGTCATATAATTATATCTTGTATACTAGAACTTTTTTGGTCTCATTCCTCATCCTTACCCATCTTAATCACCACAGCCCTATATCCCCATACTGTGTATACCCACTCTTTGACTGGCTAAGAGCTACCTGTCCTTCAAGTTTCAGCTCAAAAATGCTACTTGAACCTCATCCCATATATCCAGATTTCATTTTTCAGTTCAAAACATTTACCATACTTACCACACATAAACATTCAATAATGTATATATCTGTGCTTAATTTTGTTGTTTTGTTAAATGTTTGTGTCTCTTATAAGATGGTGGAACTGAATATTATTTTCCTTTGGATTTTTTATTCCTTGATTAAATTTTAAAGCATTTAACTTAGATTTTACAAAAACTTAAAGTGGAATATAGACAGTTTTGACTTTAGTTGAAGTAATTAGCAACAGAAAGAAAAGAAAGGGTTTTAAAATTTAAAAATGTATCAGGAAACTTTCAAAATGTCATTATCTGCTAGCATCACAATAAAGTCCACATATTTCCAAAAATATTTGAAGTTACAAGAAATATATATATGTAAGTTAAAAATTCCCAAAGTGTCCTATCATTTCTATATAATCATTTTATCAAATGTAACCTAGTTGAGTCTATTTTAAACTTATTCCACATATATATATTTTTGAGATCATGAGTTTTAAGAGTCTCCTTATTAGATTTCTCTTTTGAAGTAAAAAACACAAAACACTTCACCTTAATTTCACTTATCACTGGATAGCTTAACTATCAAAATAATTTAGAGAAAATTATGATGTAACACCATAGGAAATGCATGTGTCATATATGAAAGATAATACTTCCAGAAATTCATTTCTTGCATGTTTTGTTGCACAATATTAGTTTTAGTTCTCATAATGTTAGGAAAGGTCCTGTTTCTTAATGAATATATTCTCAAAAATGGTAATAAAAAAACTTAGAAAAGTCCCTGAAATTTGTAAAATCACTGTTAATACATATGAGATAGAGTAATATTTTATCCTATTTCTAATGGGATAGAATAAAAAATAAGGGAAACAAGAGCATTACAGGAGTTCGTAGAATGTTTTTAGTCCTTATTAACATTTCAAAAGCAATTAAACTCAAAATTCTAATAGTGAACATTTTAATCAACATAATACATTCATTCAATTGAATTGCATCACACCCCATTATCTACTACATCAAATCTCATAGCAAATAACATGTGTATCAAAGGTATGAACTGAAATTATGGAAATATGAGTTGAAATTGTAGAAACTTTGTAAAACATACATATACATAAAAGGTAGACATTTAGATTGTTTTATTTTGGATAATAATATATTCATAATAGATTAAATAATGTCCAATAATTCATATACATTTTTAAGTACTCATATTTGTATATTTGTCATTTCATGACAATTCTGTTTTTTTTAGACTCTTGAGATACTGACTGGAAGATAGACATTTTTTTTTCCTGCTGATTGTATGGGAGAAATTTTGACCTCAGAAAGTGGAAATGAGGTTGCTATGGAAACTGATAATTCTGCTGCCACTCATAAATACTTGTGCAGGTAATGTATTCTATTATTATGAGTTTTGATTGATAATCTATTGGCATTTTACTTTTTTTCATATGTGAAACAATTTTCAAATGCTTAATGCTTATATTATTTGAATTACTATGTGATAAACAAAAATTTTAAGGTAATTTCTATGGCTAATATAGAATCCTTAAAAAATTTATCAAGCCCTATTTTTAAACAGAACTAATATTTTAGTTATAAATTGTCAAATATGAAATTTTTATTGTGGAAGTATGCAATTAAAATATTTTTGGATCAATAAACAATGAAGAATAGTTATTTTTTTTATTTCCTGTGTATTGAAGTCATTGCAAATTAAGGTTGAAATATCTATTTTCTCTCAAATTTAAAATTTGGTATAAAACTATATTGAAATAGAAGAAAATGTAATAAAGAATGTTATATCAAAACTAGAAATAACCTTTGAAATTGTTCTTCCCATTTCAATGATATGAATTCTTCTACTCAACTATATCTGTTAATATTGGTGTGTCAGTGAGCTTTTGCTGTGTAACAAACCATCCCAAATCTAAGTAGATTAAAGTAAGAAATAACCATGTATTTAGTTGACAAGTCTGAAATTTGACAACTTAAGATAGTCTCACTCAGGGCTGTTCTTTTAGTTTTGGCTCAGGTGAATAACATCTGTGGTCAGCGCCTAGGTCATCTGGTACTAGGCTGGTGGAGGATATTCATAGCTGAGACGACTAAGCTGCATCAGCCTTGGTTCAGGTGATCTCATCCTCTGTGGCTCTGGGCTCTTTCACATAGTGACTGCTTAGAGTGCCTAGAGAAATCAGGAGCATGCGAAATACCATGATGCTGAGACTTGCAACTGTCACAGTGTTATTTCTGCTACATTCTTTTAACCACTCTAAGTCACAAGACCAGTCCAGATTCAAGGGGTTTAGAAATATACTTCATCTCTTGATAGAAAAGCCGCAAAACCCTAATATAAAGGGGCACAGAAATAAAAAAGGGAGTAATATTGGCCATTTCTTCTAAATCACCAGCCCTGGTCTGTTAAGATCATAGAGTTCTGTTCTTAATTGTCAAGTTTACCTATTCGAGTTGTCACAAAGTTTGGACATCAGCTAGATTATCTCACTGTCAGAGCAGCCCTTCTACCATGCCATGCTGCTTCCCACCAACTGTGTAATAATGGGTACTTTTGAAGTTCATATATTTGTTTAAAAAAAAAAAAGGCAGTAATATACTGGGAGAACACAGAAACTAACATAGTAATTTACAAGCCAGAAAAGCAGCACATATTTAGAAGAGACACATATTTAATAGCAATTCCAAGAAATGGAAAGATAACACTAATCTTGAAAGCTATGAAAATGCTAAAATATGTAGAAATTAACCATTAGAATCAGAAAGCCATATAAATAAAGGTGTTTAGAAGTGCTAGTCATATTTATTCCAGTGATTACATTATTTTGATTCCTGTCACTTCTCTCTGTAACAAAGATTCAGAGTTAAATAATAATGTCTCTTTTTGTAATAGATTAAAAAAGGACAGAGCAGAGTCATCAAGGTGCCCCCAAATTATATATGTGTGAATAAGAAATTCTCTTCCCACTTCACATACATTCACATTTCAGCTTCCTGTCAAAATTTAGCATCAACATTTGCTCTTTAAATATGTATATTGAATCAGCGTAGTATCTCTAAAACACCTTTTGTGTTAAATTAAAATAAATTATTATTCTCAGAATGCATATTAGATCTGAGAAATCCACCAATTCTTCTATTAACTTTTATTTATCCAAATTGGATGTGATTCAACATGTCCTTTTGCTTTAGTCTAAAGGGAAGAATAATCATATGTCCTTGGTGCACAATTTCCTTGTGAAAGAACAGATTGGATCTTTTTTCTTTCTTTTTTTTTTAAACATAGCTATTTAAATAAAATAGTCTGAGCTAAACATTGCCCCAGAGGTAAGGATTTTGATAATGTATACACAAGAGAGCATTGCTTTAAATTTGTTTATTTGTTTGTTTATTTGCTTTTAGAGATCTCGTGGTGTGTCTTCCTACTTGCAGATACTATGCTAGTTTGGAAAATTAGATTTTCTTATGAGGAAGTGCTATTTCTGTGCCTATGTAAAATATCTTCTTTGCTTTCCCAAAACTTACTTTTTATTAATTGTGAAAGGCTATGGTGGTGGGTATTAAGGAAGGCACGTATTGCGTGGAACACTGGGGGTTGTACGTAAACAGTGAATCTTGGAACACTGCGTCAAAAACGAATGATGTGTTGTATGATGAACAACATAATACAATAAAAAATAAATAAATAAATAACCAAAAAAGATTCTGAAAGGCTAGCAAGTCTTTTACAATTACCTGCTTTTTCCTTCCTATTTTCATTTACATAATCTTTTGAAAGTTTTGGTATTTTGAATCTTCGCAGATTCTTTCTTTTTAAGATTTAATTAATTTATTTGATTTAATTTATTTATTTAATTTAATTTATTTATGTGTTTGAGAGAGAGAGCAAGTGGTAGGAAGGAGAAAAAGGAAAAGGACAAGCAGACTCTGCCTTGAGTGCAGAGCTGGACCTGGGGCTCAATTTCACCACCCTGAGATTATGACCTGAGCTGAAACCAAAAGTCAGTCGCTTAACCAACTGAGCCAACCAGGCACCCCTAGACTCTAAAGTAAAACAAAATTTTGCCCCCAAACTCTTCTCCTGTTTTCTTTTGATTTGTTTGTTTTCATTAAGTTTACAACTTCTTCTACCACCTTTATTATAGACAAAGGCCTTTACTATAAATCATAGTCCATGTAGGTGTATGTTATGATTCTGGAACATTTTTTAAATTGTGAGTGTTTAAAAGCTCTATTGTTCTATCTTAGCATTTTTTCAATATTGTGAGAAAACTAAGGCCCATTTCATTAAGATACTAACCACTAATCATATATTTTTAAATTATTTTATTTATGTGTTTGATAGACTAAATAACAGCCCCAAGAATATCTAAGTTCTACTTTCTGTAAATTGAATTTTACATTAAATAAAAAAATGGATTTTGAAGATGTGATTAAGTTAAAAAGATCTTGAGATGGGTAGATTATTCTGAAAAATCCATGTGGGAAATCACAAGTGCCCTTATAAGAAGAAGGCAGAGAGGGATTTGGACACAGAGCAGAAGGCAATATGAAAACAGTAGAAAAAGATTTGAAGATACTGTGCTGTTGACCTTAAGCATGGAGGAGGGGCTATCAGACAATGAATGAGAGGAATGAAGCTCTAGAAGCTAGAAAAGAGACAAGGGAACCAATGGATTCACCCACTGTACCTTTGCAGGGAGTGTGGCCCTGTAGATACCATGGTTTCTGCCATGTGAAACCCATTTTGGACTCCTAACCTCCAGAATTGTGAGAAAATTAGTGTGTGTTGTTTCAGGCCATGACATTATAATTTTTATAGGAGCTGTAGGAAACCAAGGCAATATGTTTCTTCCTCACTAGATCTTATCCTCCAGAAGGCAGGGACTATATCTTCCTGGCACTTGGCAGAGATTCAGTAAACATTTGTTGAATGAATGAATGAATGAGATTCAGTGTTGTTGGTCCTATTTGCATTATCATCAAGTAGAAAAAATTTAGGGGGTGCCTGGATGGCTCAGTGGGTTAAAGCCTCTGCCTTTGGCTCAGGTCATGGTCTCAGGGTCCTGAGATCAAGCCCCGCATTGGCCTCTCTGCTCAGCAAGCAGTCTGGTTCCCCCCCTCTCTCTGCCTGCCTCTCTGCCTACTTGTGATCTCTCTCTGTCAAATAAATAAATAAAATCTTCAAAAAAAAATTTAGTCTTATCATTTCCTCTGAGAAACAACTGGTCTAGTCTATCCCAATAAATGTGTGCTATAATGATATTGTCATAGGGTTTCTGAGATGAAGTTCTAGTAATATTTAAAAGTTTCAAACCATTTGAATGGAAACTCCATGTGGGCAGTGATTTTCATCTGCTATATTCTCTACTGTTTCTTCATCACCTAGCAGATGGTGTAGAAATATTTATCAAATAAACTAAAGAAAGCAGTTCCATTCAATTCAACAGATGTGTGTTAGTAGCTCATATGTTCCAGGCACTGAGCTAGCTGTTGACTTTCTAAAACAAGAGGCCCTGGTCCCTGCCCCCTTCACCCTACAGTCTAAAAAGGGGAACAAGCAAGTAAGTCAATATATGCAGTTAAGTACAAGTTGCTGTATGAGCAACACAGTAGAGAGTACTTAACATGGAAGTGTTCAAAGAGGACATCTGCTGCTTTTTTTTCAATCTTCGATCTACTTATATATTTTATGTAGCAAATCTAGATTTTTGCTAAAATAAAATGACAGAGAGGCATTGCATTTGTGTTTTTCTAGTTAGTGGAAGGATATACCCAGGGCCACTGTAAAGGAGAGTCTGTCTGAAAATGAAGTTAACACAGAAGTAGGACAATCCAAGGGAAGAAAAGCACAATTTTTTTTTTTTAATTCTACCTTTGGAACTTTATGTAGATAAGCCAATAAGATGTCCCTTTCTCATATAAGGCTAATTTACATTGAGATGCTGTCCCATGTGATGGAAAGAAACTTGTCTAGTACAGGTTAGGAAATTTATTTATTTTTTTAGGATTTTATTTTTTTATTTGACAGACAGAGATCACAAGTAGGTAGAGAAGCAGGCAGAGAGAGAGAGAGAGGAGGAAGCAGACTCCCCACTGAGCAGAGCCCGACATGGGGCTCAATCCCAGGACCCTGGGACCATGACCCAAGCCAAAGGTAGAGGCTTTAACCCACTGAGCCACCCAGGTGCCCCAGGAAATTTATTTTTGTTATAAATTACTGAAGATGCTAAGCTTAGGCTAAACATGAAATTCCACCTGGCATTAATGCCAAGTCACCACAGGGAATAAGGAACAGAATAAATAAAGGAATAATGAAAAGACACAGTTTTTCCTGGAAGGAAAAAAAAAGCATCAACAGGTTTAGTATA